GATGTTATTATTACTTACAACAGCAAGTGCAACATTTCTACGTAGTATCTCATGGGTGAAATAAGACATTAGCTAGCCCTGCACATCACGGGGCCTGAACCACGGCAAAGGAATACGAACATAAGGAATGTAGGAGTCTGTTCTAGAGAACTTTCTACCTGGCATCTTCCCCAAGGAAAAGAGGGAAAAGTCTACCTAAGGTAAGAAAATTCTCCCTGGAGGGCCCTGTGGCATGGCCTGGTGGCTAAAGTCCTCGCCTTGATAGAGCCAGGATCCCATATGGGCACCTGTTCTAATCCCAGCAGCTCCACTTCCCATCCAGCTCCCTTTCCCAGCTTGTGGCCTGGGAAAGCAGTTGAGGACGGATCAATGCTTTGGGATCCTGCACTTGTATGGGAGACATGGAGGAAGTTCCTGGCTCCTGGCTCCGGATCAGCACAGCATCAGCCGTTGCGGTCACTTGGGGAGTGAATCATAGGATGGAAGATCTTCCTCTCTGTCTCTCCTTCTCTCTGTATATCTGACTTTGTAATAAAAATAAATAAATCTTAAAAAAAAAAAAAGAAAAAGAAAAATCTCCCTGGAGAGCCAAGAGAAAAGTCCCGGCTTATTATTCTTTGGGATGTAAACGACTGTCTCCAGCGGGAAGATGAGCTTCCCTGGGTTTGTCTTGGGAGTGTCTCCAACCTCTGAGTTTCTTATCCCTTTAAATGCAAACGTGTACCTCCCTGAAGTTCTCTATCTACTCAGTCATCTTTTAACTTCCAAAGCCTTGTCCTTTAACCTGGGTTCTAGGGTTCATTTTATTCTTTAATTTAAAAAAACCTGACAATGCAGAAACACTGAAGTATGTACTTCCTAAAACTACATAGTAGAACTAACTGAAATGCTGGTTGCAGTACTGGTTAACCCCTGACACCTACTTAAACAGTGGCCTCCAAACCCAGCCTGCAGAGCCCTGGGACTTCCTCATAGCTGCCGGTGGCACTGAGGGGAAGAGTAGCTAAAGTAGGGGTCCAGAGGAAACCCCAAGTCCTGCTTCAAACACAGCTGTTCTGCTCTGATACACTGGGCCTGTAAGTGTGGCTTTTTTGAAGATAAGGCTCTACAACAAATGAAAAACAGTAGCTTCGAAATCCACTGAAGAGACAGACACTAAAAAAATTTTAGATAAGCTAAGAAAACACCTTCAGTCTTACAGAAATAGGAACGGTCCCATTTACATTTCTTTGTCTTGCTATGCTTAGTCACATCAGCACAGAACTTCTGAAACATACCACTAACACGAAGTTAGCCAGTTCTACCTGGGGCTCCCCACGTAGCTCACGGCAGCTCAAGACGTTCCTTGATGAGCTGTCTACCAACGCCCCTGTACACAACGCCACATGAAACATCACGTACCCAGTCCCAGCGCCTCCTCAGGACCCTGGCTTCTAACACTGGCCCTCCCCAGGGCTGCGTTCCTTCTGCCAAAACCATACCTACGCTGCTTACAACAATCCATCACCCTGCTTCTTCACGTTTTTTTTTTTTAACCTTGAAGACTGAATGATGATACAAAAGATGACAATCACCATCCAGGACACTCCAAAAGTGCATGGAAAAAGTAAAAAAATAAACAAACAAAAACAAAAACAAATAAAAGGGCCTAGCATGGTAGCCTAGTAGTGGCTAAAGACCTCACCTTGCACACACCAGGATCCCATAAGGACACCGGTTCATATCTTGGCGGCCCCGCTTCCCATCCAGCTCCTTGCTTGTGGCCTGGGAAAGCAGTCGTGGATGGCCGAAGGCTTTGGGACCCTGCACCCACATGGAAGACTCAGAAGAAGCTCCCTGGCTTCGATAGGCTCAGTTCTGCCTACTGCAGCCACTTGGGGAGTGAGTCAGTAACTTCCTGTCTCTCCTCCTTTCTATATATCTGACTATCTAATAAAAAATAAATAAATCTTTCTCAAAAATGTTGATGGAAAATGGTGCAGCTGTTATCAAGCCATGAGGAATACCCACACTTCATATCGTACCACTGCCAATGTCAACTCCAGTTTCCTGCTAACGCACACACTGTTTGACTCCAGTACTTGAGTGCCTACCGCCTTAGTGAGAGATCTGGGTTGAATTCCTGGCTCTTGGTTTCAACCTATCCGAGCCCTGGCTGTTGTAGGCTTTTGAGGAGTGAACCAGCAGATGGAAGAAATCTTTATCTTTGTCTCTCTACCATTCTAATTAATTAATTAATTTAAAAAAGAAAAAATTCCTAAGGCCAGCACCATGGCTCAGCAGGCCAATCCTCTATCCTGTGGCACCAGCATCACATGTGGGTGTCATTGCATGTCCCAGCTCTCCACTTTCAATTCAGCTCTCTCTTATGGCCTGGGAAAGCAGTGAAGGATGGCCCAAGCCCTTGGTACCCTGAACCTACATGGGAGACCTGGAAGAGGCTCCTGTCTTCCGGGGTTGGATGAGCTCAGCTCTGGCTTTTGCAGCCATTTGGGGAGTGAATCAGGGTACAGAAAACCATTTCTGCTTCTCCTCTCTTTCTCTCTGTAAGTCTGCCTTTCAAATAAAAATGCATAAATCTTAAAAAAAAAAAACTGCCCGTAATGCCTGTCATCTCACTTCCCTTATACTCATGACCACTTACAAAGAAATTCAAATTGAACAGATGTTTAGGATCTTAAACCCACCTATGCTGACAGCCAGACTGCAAAACCCAGGTGGGAGTCTGAAACATCCCTGGTACAATTATTTATTTATTATTTTAAATAAGTTCACTGGGGGTTTTTAACTTCTTATTTATTATTATTATAATTTTATGATGCAGTTCCATAGGTCCTGGGATTTCTCTTAGCCCCCTCCAAAGCCCCCCCGAATTCCCCCGTATTATTACTATTGTATAGTTCTTCATACACAGTCGTCCATCATTGTGGGCATGGACAACGGCAGAGAGTCCCGCATCCTATTGTCAAGATACAGTTATCAGTTTCATTGGGAGTTTATCCTTGATCTAGAAGTAGAGATGCATAGTGCATTGCATCCTCCTATCTGGATATAATAGTCTCCATTACACAGTTACTATACATGCCCTTAAATGAAAAGCCACTATACAAAATCAAAAGTCAAATATCTTAGGTTTTATATATATACGTATACATATATATATATATGAGAATCTAAAGCTAAAATGAACTACACAGTACTACTTTCTAAATTCTAAATATTTATTACATGTTTAAAGGATGAATTGATTGCCAAGGACAATAAAATACCTGGGATTCAGGAAGTTCTGGTCCCACTTCCACTTGCTGTGCTGATGTAAAGTCAGTCACTTTGAAGTTGGGATGCCCACATCTCACACTGCAATGTGGGTGTTTGGTCCCAGGCTCCAGCCCCTGGCACAGCTTCCTTCCAGGGCAGAATACAGGAGTGATGGCTCCAGTGTTTCCTAACGTTCCCAGGGGAGCCCGGGGGGGTGTTGCCACCTTCAGTCTTGGGCCAGTCTAGAGCCCTGTGGGTATCGGGAAACTGAATCCCATCAGGCGCTCTGTCTACTTCACTGCCCATGAGGACATTTCCAAACGATGATTGAAAACGGAATGAAAAAGCTCACCTTTGTACAGAAAAAAAGCTGAAGTTCATGTGTACCTCTTTCATCATACACATTTTTGTGAACTTTTTGAGGACTCCTTGAATGCATGAATTTCAAAAAATGTTTGGACAAAAACTCACTTTTCAATTTCATTTTCCACGAATTTTGGGATGTATCACTATATATAACCTATGTGACCCTTTCACTCAATAAATATGTGTGTGCCCAATTAGCAACTAGGCATTATCCTAAATATGAAAGACAATATTTAGAAAGATGAATTTTTGAGCGGGGCAGAAGTATATGATAGTAGACAAGCTGGTGCCCCCAGCCCTTATCCACAAAGCTAAATCCCTGATGGGATTATGCTGCTTTGATTGACTCCGCAATTTGGCACCAGCAGAAAAGAATTGTGGTCAACTGAATTCCCCCAGAAAAAAAACAACCAAAAACTGAAACCTATGGATTTGTGATTCTATTCATTAAGGAGGATGGAAGCTGAGACTACGCCAACTCTTTCCAGCTGGGCACATCCCAGAACTTGTTTACAGCACACGGGGCACAGGGCAACTATGGGAAGATGGGCAGGCTGAAGAAGTTCTGCTCTAGGCTTCCCAGTAGGCTATGACTGCCTGAGTTATACATGTCTTTAAGAAGCTGTATTCTACGAGCGGTTTTCTAGATTCACAGTAGACTACCATAGCAGAATTCTGAGAGGCAAACAAAATTCTGGAAAATTCGTAAGTCTAAATTCCATCCTCGAAACAATTCTGGGACGGGTACCTGGTGCTAAGGTGTGTTTTATTACACAGAAGGTGTCACTCTTGAATTGTCACTTTATCTAAAAAATAGATAAAACAGTAAGATTTTAAGATTTTAATCACATTTTGCTTTTATCGGTGCCTCTGTTCTTAACCCCCCCGTTCCTTGACCCATTTCCATTTAACAAGAGCAGAAAGGAAAGGGGTAAAGTCCGGCATTCGGGAGCACAGCTTCTCCCCCAAATCCTTCCAAGCAGCAGGCTGAAGTCCCTGCTGAAATGCAGCGGGGTGTCCAGATTTAAAGTTAACGTAAACTTGGAAGCCGCCAGTGCAAGGGCAAAGAGTGGCGAGGCGCGCGCCGAGTGTGCCAGCATTGGGGCTGGACCCGCCGGGGCGAGCTCCCGGCCCGAGCCCTGGCCCTGGGCGCGGGGACCGGGCTGGAAGCCCACCGGGCGGCAGGCAGGCGGGCCGAGGCCGAGCGCGGGGCCACGGAGCGAGGGCACCGGCCGGCGGGCACACAAAAAAAAAAAAGCTGCGGGGGCAACAGACACTTGAGGACAGCGCTCCCGGGAGCTCTCGGGATGCCCCACGAGGGAAAGTGGGTGCTGGGGTCCCTGTCGCCGCCCGCACCGAGTCCCAGAGGAGGGTACCTGTCTGCGGGCGGCCCGTCCACAGTCCCTTCCCGCCGCCCTGGCCGGAGAGGACGCGGCTTCTCCGCAGAGCCACAAGCCTGGCCAGCTTCGCCAGCATCGCGCTCCTCTCCTCAGTCGGGTGTGAGGAGAGCCGGCGGCGCGCTGTCCTCGGCCGCCAGCGGGGGCGCTCGCGGACGCCTCGGTGCCCGCCCCTCGGCAGGGCGGCACCGGGCGGGGCCTCTCGGGCTTACCCGCCCGGCGGGGTGTTCCCGGCCGTCGGAGCGCCACGGCCCAGCCCTGCTGGACTGGCTTTAAAGGACGGCGGTGGAGCACTGGGCCTCTACCTTCTCGTCCTCCCGCCGTTCAGTCCGCTACCCGGCTCGGTGACTTCTAGAGCAGGCGGAACCTTTGAAGGCCGGAACCAAAGTGCGGCACGCCGTGGGTGACCACTGGAGAGCTGTTTTGGTGGAGGAGGCTCGACGGGTGCAGTTTCCGGCGGGAAAGCGCGGCTTCGGGTCCCGTCATGAACCGACAGAATTTTCGACCTCCGACTCCTCCTTACCCCGGCCCGGGAGTAGGGAATTGGGGCAGCGGGAGCGGCTTCCGGGGTACCCCGGGCGGAGGCGGACCGCGGCCTCCGTCCCCTCGGGACGGGTACGGGAGTCCGCACCACACGCCGCCGTACGGACCGCGATCTCGGCCTTACGGGAGCGGCCACTCTCCGCGCCACGGCAGCGGCTTCTCGGGGGGCCGGTTCGGGTCCCCGTCTCCCGGCGGCTACCCCGGCTCCTTCTCCAAGTCCCCCGCGGGGTCGCAGCAGCCGTTCGGCTACTCCCCGGGGCAGCAGCAGACCCACCCCCAGGTAATCCGAGCCCGCGCCGGCCGAGCCCTGGTACTAACACTCCCTTCTCGTGGGCGCTCTCTCCTTTCCTCCGTGACATGGGATGCTGTTGTTTGACGCTGTTTTCCACCTGAGTCAACTGAGGCGTAAAGTTGTTAAGTGCTCTAAAAAGATGTTCCTAAAACAGGGCGGCATCGCGCTTCCTGTCACCCGGGCTCGAGCCACTCCGGGTGTCCCCGGTGCCGGTTTCTTCCCGCGTGTCAGTTTATCTCACTGGTATTCATTTTCTTACTCCCAACCCGCAGGAGCTGCAGTGGCTTCTACTCCCCAGGGAAAAATCCTTCCAGGGAAAGTTCCCTCGAGGGAAAATCAGGGGTAGTAGAGGTTTCCCGTCCCTCGGTGAAATGAGTCTCGCCAACAAGAAAAGGCGTGTCCAGGAAGCTTTAATCTCAGAGCCTGGCGCTGAGAAGGTAGATTTTGCCCGGGACAGACCTTGGGCAGAGCTCGCAGTGCTGCGGGCCTCACCCCTGCAGCTTCCGCCCTCGTTGGTCCCTTCCTTTCAAATTGAATGAAAATAAATTTTAAGAAACACTTTTAAGCTATATTTTGGGGGGTCAGAGATTCAGGAAATTTAAATTCAGGAATTTTAAATTGTTTTTCAAAGGTAAAAATGGAAATTTCAAGAAAAGATTGAATTCAGCTTATCTTTTCCTTACCGCCGGGATGTCTGATTCCATCCTATGTTGTTTTTAGTATCTGCAAAGTTATTGCATAGGAAAGCCAAAAGTATTTGAAGTGACCATGGGTGTGAAATTATTAAATTGGTTTGAATATTTAAGTTGAAGGAAATAATGTACTTTGCAGTTTCACATATTTGGATTCAACTCACAGCTTTTTAACCAGCAGTGGCCATCCCCACTAGCCTTTAACTAAAGGGAAAAGTACCAATTATTTTCTGCTAAATGTTTTTTTAATTGATGGATTTTTTTCCTAAAGGGTTCTCCAAGAACATCTACACCATTTGGATCAGGGCGTGGTAGAGAAAAAAGAATATCTAATGACTTGGAAAATTATTTCAAGCCTTCAATGCTTGAAGACCCTTGGGCTGGCCTAGAACCCGTGTCTGTAGTGGATATAAGCCGCCAGTACAGCAATACTCAAACATTCACAGGCAAAAAAGGAAGATACTTTTCTTAATATTTGTGAAACTCATCTGGAAGTGTCAAGTGTCAGAAACATCTGGGACGGAACTTTTACTTGTTTAATTAAATTGAACCCAAAGATGATGACGTTGAACAATTATAGAGCCACCTTGGTATTTTTCATCATAGCAGGCATTGTTGGTATTAGAGCAGAAGATAGGATATTTGCAGTATTTGGCTCTCTGCAAGTGCCTACCACACTTTAGAAGATTTACAGTTTCCAAATACTTCATATTCCTGGCTAAATGGTGGACATTTGTCTCAATGTTTTTTCCAATGTTCTAAAATAAAACATTTTGTATTTCTTACTGTATTGTGGTTTTGTGATTTCAAAAAAACTAAATTATTAAGTCATGCTTATAACCATCTAGCCTTCACAGGTTATGCTTATAAACTATCTTGAAAATGAAATAGATATGCCATCTTTTGGGTTGTAGACAGCTCTGTATTTGATCACAGAGAAAGAGAGAACCACAGTTCTATACATATTCATCATAACCACTGTGCTACATACGTAGTTTATGGACTGCTTTTGTAAAAATGCAAACAGGTCAAAATGTTGTGTGAATGTTTACTTCCGTACCATTGTCTCGGCATGGTGGAGTGGTTCTCCCCTCAGGCTGGAGGAGAGAGGGGAGTCTGAAATGACTTCACTGAATGAAGACCATCTTTCAATTCCGTCAGTCCCCAGAGGAGACAGATTGGCTGTGCCCTCCGTCATGTTTCTGTGTTCTTAAACTAAACTATGACCCAGGAAATGAGACCTAGTTACTTTGAATCATAGACTCATTCCTTTAATGCGGTAGTGATCTTTTCCACTTGAAGCAGAGAAATAGTTAATTTAGACGATGCTGTGTGTGTGTATCTACAGGAATGGAGATTTTTTTTTTTTTTAAAAAGGGAAATTTCCCCCAACTATTTAAACAAAATCAAGACTTCTATGTAGGTTCTTTAGTCTGAGGTCACTAAGTGCAAAGTGCTTGTTAAAGTTTTGTTTCTGTATTCCCAAAAAGAAACCTCTAAAAATGAAATGGTCACCTCAGCTGTAGGAAGCATGGCCATCTGTTCACTAGCACTTTGAGAGGCAAGGGAGAAAACAAGTGCAAGGGTTTTAAGGTTAAAAGTTCAGTGAGTGCCAGGACACTTAAACTTCTATCTCTACCGATTACTGAGTGGATGCGTGCACTTCTTTGTGCCTCAGTTTTCTTGTATATAAAATAAGGAAATGAATAGTGCTTGGGTCATAAAGGTGACATGTCTAAGGATTGGATGGGTGTTTGGTGCCCGGCCAGGTGGCAGTTATTTGTCTCATTTATTCCCATGTCTTCAATTTTTAGGGAACTATCTGCAGAGCAGTAGGTGCCTAAATATTAGAGAAATGAATGTATAAATTCTAACTTTTAAAAAAGAGATTTATTATTTTTATTGCAAAGTTAGATTTATAGCGTGAAGAAGGTACAGAGAGATCCACCCGCTGATTCGCTACCTAAGTGACCACAATGGCCAGAGCTGAGCTGATCCAGAGCCAAGAGCTTCCAAGTCTCCGACACGGGTGCAGGATCCCAACGCTTTCGGCCGTTCTCTACTGTTCCCAGGTCACAAGCAGGGAGCTGGATGGGAAGTAGAGCAGCCAGCATATGAACTGGTACCCATATGGGATCCCGGTGCATGCAAGCCGAGGACTTTAGCCACTAGGCTATTGCTCTAGGCCCAGAAATTCTCATTTTAACTACTATATTGTTCTGCCTTTTCCCTTGTATTTAGAAAGGATATCATAATTTTTCCTAAGTATTTTTTGAAAATCCTTGTTTCCTAAGATCTTTCCAGATGTGTTGAGGCCATGATATATGGTGAATATTAAAAGTAGGATACCTTTTGTTGAATTTTATTGATTAAAAATTATTTAGAAAATGGTACTTGGAAATAATTATTAAAGTCATAAAGATCATTTTGTTATTGGAAGATAAGAAAAATAATTTGGAAGTTTTATGCCAATGTATTAATATTGGGAGACACTGAAATTAACTCCCGCTGGTTTTTGTACACTTAATTTCATTGCCCTACAATATGAAAGAAAGGTAAGGCTTCTGTCGTTTAGCAGATAGGCCTAGCGTTTAACATGCCCACATCCCATATCAGAATACCAAGGTTAGAGACCTGGCTTTGCTGCTGGCTCCCACTTCCTGCTTGTGGACACAGAGAGCCAGCAGCAGTGGTAGGTCAGGTGTTTGAATCCCACCACATACAATACAGACCTGCACTGAGTTCCTGACTCCCCGTCGCCTTGGGAACACATGGAGAAAATTTGCAGACTGTTTGTAAAACTGATGATGGCCTGTTTCTGTTGCTACTCTGTTTTTGCTTAATTGAGTGAAATGAATTCATTTAAAATTGAAATTTTTCATTTAAATGTGAACTGTCTTCATTAATCTTTTTGTTAGTCAGATGCTAGAAACCCATGTTACTTATTTTACTATGGCACATGCCCCTGCTTTTGTTATTTAACAGTTTGCTTTTTTTCAGTACCATGGGCTTAGGCTTAAACTAATACAGGTTTTGTGATTTTCTGTTATAAATAAGACACATAATACATACCTTCCTTAAAAACTGAACTTACTAATCATAAGATACATTGTAATTTCAGAGATGCTATAATGTATGTTTGCTGAAATTTCACATGCCATGATCTCTAAAAAAATAACCTGTGAATAGGTATGACGGTGAATGCCTTAAAATAAAGCCTAGGTCACAGAACATTTAACAAGAAAATCAGCTTCGTTTTATTAGAGTTTATTCTACAATCTCAAATATTTGTGTTCTGATTATTAAGGAAGCATAAATCATTTAAAAATTCTAATATTTTTATATAATTTTGCAATTTTTCAACTTTAAGATGGTTTTGCTTTGTTTTGTATAATTTTAACCAAGATAACTATTGAGTTAAAATGTTATATTTAAGACTTGGCTAAGCCTTTGGCTAACCTCCTAAGGACTTAAATAGCAGAACTTGAACAATAGAGTCTTAATGAAAGTGTCTTCCACTTATTTGCTTACTTAAAGAGCATTAAAAGTAATTTGACAGTAATTCACTTTGTGACGTACAATTAATTGAATGGTATCACTAATAATGACCTTTTTCTACCACTTTTCATTTATGTATACAAATGATTTATCACTTGGACTTTTAAAATACTAATAAAGTTCATATTATCTTAGTCTACCATAATTATTAAAATATGTATTGTTTTTATCACTTAAGTAATGATAACCTAGAAAACATTCTGCAACAGTTAGAAATTTATAGTCATGGAAAACAAAGTTTCCATATTTTTTTTAAGATTTATTTTCTTTTTATTGGAAAGTCAGATATACAGAGAGGAGGAGAAACAGGAAGATCTAACTGATGGTTCACTCCCCAAGTAGCTGCAACAGCTGAAGCTGTGCCGATTCAAAGCCAGGATCCAGGACCCTCTTCTGGGTCTCCCACACAGGGTCCTAAAGCTTTGGGCCGTCCTCAACTGTTTTCCTAAGCCACAAGCGGGGAGCTGGATGGGAAGTGGTGCTGTTGGGATTAGAACCGGCACCCATATGGGATCCTGGCATGTTCAATGTGAGAATTTTTAACTGCCATGCTATTGCGCCAGGCCCAAGAATTAACTGTTATAATTCATTCTAAAGTTTAAGCATCATCGTAATACCAAATTGGAGGTCTTATCAGAATATTACATGCCAGTATCTCATCCTAAAAAAAATTAGCTAATCAAATTCACCAATATATAAAAAGATTTTTTATGGATACTATGACCAAGTGTTATTTATGATAGGTGTACAAAACTGATTCAACATTAAGTCAGTTAATGTAATCACACTAACAGGATACAATAGATGCAGAAGTATTTGAACACACATTCATTCGTTAAACACTCAGCAAGCCACAAACAGGAGGGAACTTGTGCAAAAACTATTGCAAACATCATATGTAAGCCCTATGCATTACTAGATATGTCTTTTGCTTGATAAAATGTCCCCCAGACAAATCCCTGTTGGAAATGACAAGATGTTTTTCATGGCTGAATGATATTCCACTCTATATATTCCACATTTTCTTCATCAATTTGTTGAGTGCATAGATTGATTCAGTTTCTTGGCTATTCCTCAGCATGTTTTATGGATATTGAAACATCGATTCTAAAGTTTAATTGGAAAGGCTAAAGATAGAATCAGGCTGGACTGCAACACCCACTGGTTCCTGTGGAAGACGGGGCTGGAAACAGAACTGACAAAGCAATTGCAGCCACCATCATATGCACAAGCTGATTGGGACAAAGGACGGTGCCAGACCCTGTACTGACAACCACACACAAGAATCAGGTCTGGGATCACGTCAGACAAAGTTTCTTTGGGGATCCCTCCAACTGAACTGCTGATCTCAGGACCCCAACTATGAAAAGAAGTGTAGGTTCCATGGTCTGACCATGGAGTGCAAGTGTCACAGCCGAGCCTCCTCGGAGGCTCAGACAGAGCAATGGACAGCATATCCAGGTGCAGATGGAGAATGTGGCAGTATCGGAACCTGCAAAGAACACCTGCTACCACAACAGAGACATAACAAATCAATCAACTACCCAGCCATGTGTTGGCAGTGAAAATCTGGGCAAATGGATGCTCCAAGGTGAACTGTATGAGCCAGTGGATCCTGCAGAGATTTCATCGTGCTTGGAATTGTGAGATTGGCAGCAATTCAGAACTGTTGAACTATCAAAACCACTTGAGCAAGACCCTTGGAACATACCTCACATCAAGGACCTGGGATGGGTGGGAGGCTGGGTGGGGCTTCTCCCTTTATCCCAGCTACGGAAAAAATTAATGTGAAAACAATGGTCTTACCCAGTTTGCTGTAGCCCTTGACCCATTGTACCCTAATCAACTATGTAAAGATTATCAGAATAATTACACACACACACACAAATAGCCAGCACAATATTGAATGAGAAGTAAATAGAGGAATAATGCCATCAATCAAGACTCATTGTGTTCCCATAAAAGAATAAGCAACTTGAACAATAGGAAAGAAGAGAGAAAATAGACTCACACAAATTTCTGACAGAGGAGGAAAATCAAAAGCTTACCAATGAGAAAACAAGTCAAATTATCCCTGTTTGCAAGATACGATCTTATACATAGGGGAACCAAAAGACTGTACTAACACTGTTAGAATTCATATGAGAGCTTGGCAAATTTGAAGAATATAAGAACACAAAAAATTAGTAGCTCTTGTACAGAGAGCCAGTGCCATGGCTAAGAAAGAACTTGGGGGCCCGGCAGTGTGGCCTAGCAGCTAAAGTCCTCGCCTTGAATACCCCGGGATCCCATACGGACGCCGGATCTAATCCCGGCAGCTCCACTTCCCATCCAGCTCCCTGCTTGTGGCCTGGGAAAGCAGTGGAGCACAGCCCAAAGCCTTGGGACCCTGCACCCATGTGGGAGACCCAGAAGAAGTTCCTGGATCCTGGCTTTGGACCGGCATAGCATCGGCCATTGCGCTCACTTGGGGAGTGAATCATCGGACAGAAAATCTTCCTGTCCTCCTCTCTGTATATCTTACTTTCCAATAAATAAAATCTTAAAAAAAAAAAAAAAAACAGTATGGAGATTTACCTGAAATCTGAAAATAAGCCTAGCCATCACACTCCTGGGTCCTTATCCAAAGGAAATGAAATTAGTGTATGATTGTTACATGTTATCTGTATGAACCCACATGTGTTTTTTAAAGATTTGTTTTTATTGGAAAAGCAGATGTACAGAGAGGAGGGGAGATAGAGAGGAAGATCTTCCATCCAATGATTCACGACCCAAATGACCACAACGGCTGGTGCTGTGCTGATCCA